AATACACTACAATTTGCAGTAAAATTTTATTTTATTTAAAGCAGTGTTGTTGTTTTTTATGATGCATTGAGTCACTTAAGTCGCAGGAGAGATGATGTCCTTCTCGTCGGTTTAGTGTTCTGAAGGCCCAGATGTGTTGGACCTTCTTGTAAACACTGTAAACCGTTGGAGCCATTTTGGTTTCCTGAAGATTGTCCTGCTTGTTCTTGTTTTCCGGAGATTAAATAATCTTGAAAACAGCACCCGGAGACGATTCGGAATCAGCCTGCCGAAGAAGGACCTGGAGGCTTTCTGAGTCAGTTGGCTAATCTGAGCTTCTGTAGCTTCTCTGTCCTGGAACAGCTTCTCAATGTCCTTCAGTATCTCTCTGCAATCAGGCAGCTCCTTTTTCAGTCTTTCTAAAATGTCTTTTGTGTCTGTCTCCAATGCAATGTTTAGTTGATCTTGTTGGATTTTGCAAGGATCAACTTCTGACTGGCTCCCTAGAATCCCTGTATCTCCATTGGCGCGGGGATCTTTAGTGGACTTCTGAGATCCACAAAATGAACTCACATCTGGAGAGCTAGTGGTACATTTGTAGCTACCACAAGTAGATTCAAATGAGATGGAAAGACTTGGGATTTGGAGGACAACATGCCAGGTATTGACATCTGATGAAACACTGACTGGACTAGGAACTGTTAAATCCATCTCGGCAATTTCTCGGTTGGCCTCTAGTTGTGATGGTTCAAACTCAGCCTCAGTGACACGCATTAACTCATGAGCCTCCTTCGTGTAGTCATCACCTTCAGGTAAGTGCTCCATGGTGATGAACGGGTGATCGAGGGCTTTCGATGGCATGATCCTCTCCTCCGCGTCCATTTTCAACATTTTACTGAGCAGGTCGTGAAACTGCTCCATATCTCTTTCCTCCTGATGGGAGACAAACTTTCTAGAACCTTTAAGAAGCTGCTCCAGGTTTGTTGCTGAAGGCTTGTGAAGTGCCATCCTAGGATTAATCCCAGTGGTCTTCGTAAACTCCTGCAGAGTTTTTAGTCTCCACTTGGAGTTTTCCTGAACGAAGTAGTTTGACGTGCACAATGCCACGTCCAGCAGCTTCTCTGAGGGAACCCCAAAGAAATGCACGATCTTGTTCAGGAAGTCGAACTCAGAAAATCCCTTGAAATCTGTGCTACGTACAAACCAGTGAAGGAGACAGCAAGCCACACCCCACATGTCAACAGCCTCCCAAAGTGGAAGACCCAAAGTTACTTCTGGGGCACGGTACGAAATTGCCTGCATCACCAGTCCAATTGGTACTTCTTCAGAGTGCCTTGCCAATCCAAAATCTATTAACTTAATTTTGAATGGCCTCTCCTTCTGGTTGACTAGCATAATGTTGTCTGGTTTAATGTCGGTGTGCATGACACCGACACAACGCAGACCATGAAGAGCTATGAGGAGCTGCTTTGCCATTGGTCGTATTTGGCTCAGCGTGAAACTCCTCATCTTTCGCCAGAGTCTGTAGACACTTAGATCTAACATCTCAAATGCGAGCGACCCACAGCCATCATGGTTTAAACAGTCAACCAGTTTGACCACGTTGAAGCTGTCTGGGTACTGTAGCCCCTCCTTGATGTAACTCAACATTTCCAACTCTCTGTGGAAATTTTGGGAGGAGGTTCCGTCACCCTTGAGGCATTTTAAAGCGACAAGTTCCCCTGTCACTCGATCACGGCACTTGGTAACGGTACCGTAAACGCCCTCTCCGATGACTCCCAAAACCTCGTACTTGGTTTCGGGGTTGGTTTGCTTTAAACCGGTGAAATCCATTGCCGAAAACACGTTGCGATCTGCGAGCTCTGCTGAGTCTGTGCGTACACTGGTTGTGTCTGGGTTGAAGTGACCTTTATTTAGTGTGCTTCTAGAACAGAAAACTCCATGGCAACGATGACGCACAAAGTTACGTAACCGCATTCTACCCGTTTATGCAAATAGAATGTTTATATTTGATTTGTATGTATAAATCAAAAATCTAATCGCTATGGCAACGCTTATCAATGAAATGCCAAGCCCAAATTATAGTTCTGTATCGACTTAACGCACACTGCCTCGTCGCCGTCGTAGTAAAATCCCGATTCCTCACTCCACCTCGGTTACGAATTTAAAAAAGTCAACGCTAAAGTGAAAGGCACCAGCTGTTCGCCAAAAAATGCCTTCCACTGCAAAGCGACCAAGACGTGATGTTGCTGTAAAACCACAAGAACAAGAAAGTGCGAGCTCAGCCTGTTTGTCTTCTGTACCTCTCGCTTAACAAACAGGATTTTCTTTGTTGGCGCTCCACATACAAAGGCTACGTTTAGACTAGGGTTGTCCCGATCCAATCACGTGACCAGAAATCTGTGCCGATCACGTGACTGCGGAATCGATCTGGACTCGACTGTTAAGGTCCGATCAGGTATCGGATAAATAATATACGTACATAACACACGGTGCACAGAGGACACACAGCACACAACAGTTGTTTTTTTAACTGAGGCGCGGGATTTGCTCAGGGACGTCCAGTCAGCGCGACTGTCTGTCCCAGCGCCTGCTGTACTAGAGGCGCACTTGTGCTGGGGCTTTCGGGCCGTGCCGTGCTCGGGCGCTGTTACCTGTGGTTCTGTGGCCCGTGTTCACACCTGCGCGGCCGATGGCGTTTGTTTGCATGTTGCCCAGTGGAGTTGGCGCTTTTGGGGGGAGGGTGGGAAAAGCATGAAGCGTCTATTGAGCGGTGGGACTGATGCTGCGGTGTTGCTCTGCTGTGGGTTTGCGGATGTGGTGGCGGTGCGAGGGAATGGGAGCAGCTGGGGGAGAGAGGCTGTGGGGCTTCTGTCATCTCGTTTTTATTTGGTAAATAAGATTATGTATTATTTGGAGCTCATAGATGAGCCTAAATGTTTCAAATGTAATGCACAGGCTTCCATATAATATCAAATATACAAACTGTAGATTGTGCAGAGTCTCAGGTCTGATCTGATTCTGGTCTGGTTCCTGTTTTGTCCAGTTCATTAAGTAAACTACGTTACACATTCCAAGACCAGACTGTGGTAAAAGTTAAAATTTTCAACAATGATTTTGAATGGTTAGAAAAGTTAATACAATTGAAGTTGTGGACATTTGATTTTTCATACTAAGTTCAGCCCAAATATTACACATTGAAATGAATACAGTCTGATCCCCCCAAACATCCTGGATCTTATTCTTCGCTCTTAGTTCATTTCATAATTTTTATAGAAGTATCGGATCGGGCCTCGATATCGGCAGATACTTAAAATCAACTCGGACTCGGACTTGGACTCGGGGGCAAAAAAATGTGATCGGGACATCCCTAGTTCAGACTGCAGGGCTTAATGCTCAATTTTGATTTTTTTTTTGTGAAATCCGATGTTTTTTCGAGGTCGTTCACATTTCCCATTAAATGTGACTTGTATGTGATCTCCAGTGTGAACGTTAAACGCCCCAAAAGTGTCCCGCATGTGCACTGGAGACATGACGACGTCAACCGCAGCGAGCGTGATCTGTGTTTACAGAAGTTGTCCAAATATGGACGCGAGCATTGAGCACCTGGAGATTTTAAAAGTTCCTCTCGTACCGGAGCCAGAACATGAACAACTTACTTGTTTTAAGGAGGAGATTGAGAAGGAGAAGGACGAGGTTTTTGACCGTGGTGTTTTGTAGGACAGTCCTTTGAAAGGAACGTGTGCATGCGGAGATGAAGCCAAGAGTGGTGGGATAGCGATGTGTTTTGTTTCAGTGACACGGAGTTCATTAACAATTTTTGTATGACAAGAAGAAAGTTTGTGTACATTTGTGGCTTGTTGATAAGGTGTAGGTCGGATGAATGCGCTTTGGCCGTTCAGACTGAAGTCGCATGTCAAAAGATCAGATATGTATCAGTTTTTCATTTTTCATTAAAAGATCAGATACAGGTCACATAGGGGCCAAAAAATCTGATTTGTGTCACTTCAGGCTGCAGTCTGAATGTAGCCAAAATGTTCGCTGCAAACTCGGAATGATTTCTTAGGCAGCCAAAGATTACCTTTTTTGTCCTTCCTGTGGATCAGTCCTGCCCATCGCCTATTTTACTACATCACTATTTTTCTATTCTGTTGGGAAGAGAAACAGTTTGAACGGAGGTTTCCAGTCACACAGAGCTGAGTCCCTTTTGCATTTATGGAGTTCGCAAACAAATTTCTTGAGCTGTTTCCCGGTGTTAGGACATACAACATCCACACAATTACAATGTCCGAATCCCAAAACTAAAATATGACAATATCAGAACCAGAAACAAAAGTGATATGGTTCAAAAGACTTGAAAAGATCGACTTTGACAATAGACGCATCCCACTGGGAAAACAAACATGGTGGTTTGATGCTCACTTTTTCAGAAAATCCTTCCCAGTATGAATTGCGCAATGACCGGAAGTCCGAAATTCTTGATGCATCTATTCAAATTTTTTTTTAAAGTGGATCACAATTTAACATACTGTATTTTTTATTTATTGTGTTTTGTTGTGAAGAATTTTAAAGGAGCAGGAGGACAGAGCTAAAGAGAAGACGGTGACGCTTGTTAATTCTCCCTCAGAGAAGAAGAAGTCGTGCTGCTGACCTGTGGGAGCCTTGAGTCTGGACTCTGTGGGCCTGTTTCTAACACTGTGAACACTGGAGCCACATCCAAATACACTTTAACCTTTTGTCAAACTTTAAACGGCTCATATTACACTGTTTTCTATATGTTCTAATGTTGTTTCCTCTTCAAAAACAGACCTGGAGTTGTGTTTTGTTTCATTCTCACAGGTTTAACACACAAACTCTGCAGATTTAGACTGAGTTCTTCTCTCAAATGGAAAACACTCCACCTTGTGTTGGCACTTGGTAACACAGGAAGTGCTTGACAGTTTTTAAACTCCACACTTTGAATCATTTGGATAATTTCAGATCTGGAGTTGCCAATCTCTACTGAACTAAAGATAAAGGTAGCTGGTAACTTGAAAACTACCACAACATGACATCACAAAGTGGAAGAGAGCATTTTGAACTTTAGAGATGTACACAGACTAACAATAAAATGTCACTCAAACACGTGTGAATGAAACAAAACACAACTCCAGGTGTGTTTTTGATGAGGAAACAACATTCTAACACGGCTTAAAGCTCAGAAAAGTGAGTTTTGTGTTGTACAGAACCTTTAAGGTGGATTTTCCCAAGACACTTTTGACACAAATGTTCACACTCACACTATTTTCTTTATTAATTACACAATGAAGTAATTTATAATTGTAACACGTGTGGTTTTGTATCACAAAAGTTTTTCATTTGAATCAAACTATGTTTAAATGTATATATTTATCTATAGCTAAGAGGTTTCCATTATGTTGTATAAAAATATTTATTAAAGTTGATATAAATGTCATTAATGTAGGAGCACAGATTTCCAATGTAAAAAGCCCCAGGGGTGAAGTTCAGTTGTATTTATAGATTCATATTTAGGTTGTATCTAAATATTGTAAATATGATATTTTTAGGTCTGAAAATGAAACTGAAAATGTGTTCTGGTGCACAATATAATATTTGAAAAAAATTTGAACAATGTTGTTCTGTTTTTGAATCCTGAAGTTGTTTATGTACACAACATTCAAAAGTTTGGACACACTTTTTCAATGTATTTCAGTGTGAGTTTACATTGTGAACAGCAGGTGGCCGCTGAATGTAGTGTGGTGATGTTCGTTGTCTTTAAGTGTGTTATTGGCTGTTAGAACGACATAGACCACATCTTCAGCCTCCAGAAGCAGAGAGACGGCGTTCCCCGCTGTGGTGCTCCCACTCGTACTGCTCTCATGGGCCATGAAGATGCCACGGCCGTTCTTCATCAGGTAAGCTTCAGCCGGTAAACCACGACTGCAGTGTGCAAAAATCTCAAAGTGGTACACTCCTCTGACCGGGGCAGTGAAGATGCCTGAAGGAGATTTTGAACAGACTTACAAAGAGGCGACTTTGATTGATGTTTAGGTTCATGTACCTGTGATTTTGTTGTAGGCGTTTCCAGAGTTTATGGTCACGTGTTTAAACACAAGAGTCTTGTCAGTATTATATGGTCCAAAAAACTGTTCACCTGATTCCAGCAATGCAGCAGAGAAAGCCACTTGGCGAACTGCAACAGAAACAGACACTGGGGTAAAAAGAAACGTATTTCATTTATTAAATGACACCATGAGTGAGTCCAGCCTGGAGTCCCCATTGCTACATCTACTCCATCAACGGACTCTTCACTCTCCTTCTCCTCCCCACCTTCACCCATGGCACTGCCCAACCATCTAGAAAGCCTCATCAGATCGGGAATCAAGATGGTTCCTCTCACACCTAATATAGCACGGTCAAGGGTTATGTTGAACTCTCCCCCATACAAAACTGTGCCTGTTTCACCACCAGAGACTCTCTCAGCTCTCCCCTCACCCAAACCTCCCCCTACTCCACCTCCTCGGTCCTTACCAGGCCCCTCACCCAAACCTCCCTGTATTCCACCTCCTCGGCCCTCACCTGGTCCCTCACCTGGTCACTCACCCAAACTCTCCCCTGCTCGCCCTCCCCCGCCTTTCCCCAGGGCTGTTATCACCAAGAGCTAGGACGCACAGGGCCTCTGCTGTCCCAGGACATACAGTCATGATAAAGGTAATATCAGGCTGGGGCCCTGCGATGGAGCTATAGCTCCAGTTACAACACGTAGACGGATTAAAAGGAGGACAGTTAGACTGTCTAATCAGAGAAATTTAGTTCACATTCCCTGTAAGAAGATAATATCCAGTCCTACTGAAACTAAGCAGAAACTTGCTGTGCTCAATGTCAGATCTTTATGTAACAAATCATTTCTAATTCATGATTTAATTTCTTCTTTTAATCTTGACTTTATGTTTTTAACTGAAACATGGCTTGACAAAAACACAGGTCATGCAGTGCTAGTGGAATCAACCCCTCCCAACTTCAAATTTGAATCTGAAACACGAGCAAATAAAAAAGGGTGGAGGAGTGTGTGCATTTTTTAGAGATCATTTGGTTACACACAGGTTGTCATTTGGGGTGTTTTCATCATTTGAGTATGTTTCCTTCAAAATGGAGCTAAAACAATCACCGTCCATACTCTACATAGTCATATACAAACCTCCTCAGCACTGTCAAAGTTTTATTGATGATTTTACTGAGATGCTTTCAGTTGTTATGCACAGACTTTGATGGTTTAGTCATTACAGGTGATTTTAATGTACATGTGGATAATGTGTGTGACAAAAATGCCAAAGAGCTTAGTGTTGTCCTTGAAACTTTTGGTCTGACTCAGCATGTCAGTGAGCCCACTCACAACAGAGGGCACACTCTGGACCTGCTCATTACAAAGGGTGTAAATATTTCAAATGTCAATGTGGTTGATGTTGCTCTGTCTGATCATTTCTGTGTCTCTTCTTTGACCTGTCTGTTATTCCCAAACCACCGGCTGCTCCTACAGTTGTTCGAAGAAGACACGTAAATGATAACACAGGTGCACTGTTCATGGAAATGATACATTTTGAAATTGCCTCATGTTCTAATGTTGATGATGTGTTGAACTCTGTGACTTTGAGTGTTTTGAATGTTCTGGATGCCATCGCCCCGATAAAGGTTAAAATGGTTAAAGAGGCAAAAAAGCTCCGTGGAGGAATGATGACTCAGTCAGAGCACAGAAAAGGGAGTGCCGGAAGGCTGAGCGGAAATGGCGCAAGTCAAACCTCCAGGTTCATTATGAGATTTACAGAGGAACAATGCATATGTACAACTACACTTTGAGTAAAACAAGAGAGAAGTATTTTTCGGACATTATTGGTAATTGCAGTAACAACTCTCGTGTCCTGTTTGCAACAGTGAACAGATTAACAAACCCTCCAGCTCCACTGCCACTAGAACTAATTTCCACATCTAAATGTAATGAGTTTGCAGTTTTCTTTAATGACAAAGTTCAGGGCATCAAAAATGCCATCAATTCCACAACACAAATAACAAGCATGAAACCACAGAGACACTTAGAGCTTTTTTTTTTTAGAGATCGTTACCAGTCTGAGTTCATCTACTTGCTGCCTGGACATGTTACCCACTAGATTTCTAAAGTCCGTCCTCAACAGTTTACTTTCACCACTCACTCACATAGTTAACATGTCACTTCAATCTGGAACATTCCCAAACGCGTTGAAAACTGCGGTCATTAAGCCTCTCCTAAAGAAGAGCAGTCTTGATGCCACAGTACTGAACAATTTCCGACCCATCTCAAATCTGCCGTTTTTTGGCAAGAGTCCTTGAAAAAGCTGTTTACCAACAGCTTACGAACTTTCTCCAAATGAACAACTCCTTTGATGTTTTCCAGTCAGGTTTTAGAGCCCACCACAGCACTGAGACTGCTCTTATCAAGGTGACAAATGACATCCGCCTGAACACTGATGCAGGCAAAGTCTCAGTCTTGATCCTGTTAGATCTGAGTGCTGCTTTTGACACTGTCGATCATGGGATCCTCTTACAGAGACTAGAGGACTGGGTGGGCATCTCTGGTACTGTACTAAACTGGTTCAAGTCCTATCTAGAAGACAGGAAGTATTTTGTTGAAATTGGAAATCTGTGTCTCAGATCACATGGCCCTGACCTGTGGGGTGCCTCAGGGGTCAATCCTGGGCCCCCTGTTGTTCAATCTCTACATGCTGCCATTAGGCCAGTTAATAAGCAGCAATAACGTGTCCGTACCACAATTATGCAGATGACACTCAGATCTACGTCTCTCTGGCAGCAGGAGACTATGGACCAGTGGAGTCACTTGGTCACTGCATCCAACAGATCAGTGTGTGGATGCAAAACAACTTTCTCCAGCTAAAATCTGACAAGACTGAAGTCATAGTGTTTGGTCCACAGAAACAAAGGGACAGTGTCAGCAGTCACCTCCAGTCTCTCTCTAAAACCTTCAAATCAGGCAAGAAATCTAGGGGTAATAATGGACTCAGACTTGAACTTTAACAGCCACATCAAATCAATAACATCTGCAGCCTTTTACCATCTAAAAAACATAGCAAAAATCAAAGGTTTACTGTCTAAAGCAGACTTGGAGAAACTTATCCACGCGTTTGTATCCAGTAGGTTAGACTACTGTAATGTTCTGCTCACTGGTCTCTCCAAACGAGCTGTGAGACGCTGCAGAACATCCAGAACGCTGCAGCTCCGGTCCTTACTCGAACTAGGAAGTACGAGCACATAAGTCCTGTGCTCAGGTCTCTGCACTGGCTTCCTGTGCCTCAGAGAATAGACTTTAAAGCAGCTCTGCTTGTGTACAAGTCTCTCCATGGCCGAGCACCAAAGTACATCTGTGACATGTTAGTGTCATATGAACCATCTCGCACTCTGAGGAGCTCAGGGACCGGCCTCCTGCTGGTGCCCAGAGTCACGACTAAACAAGGGGAGTCAGCGTTTCAGGTTCATGCAGCTAAAACCTGGAACAGTCTGAACATGTGAGACAGACTCTTCTGTGACGCTGTTTAAATCCAGACTCAAAACATTTCTGTTTAACTGTGCATATAACTGAAAGGTTTTCATTCCGCACTCTTCTCTCCAATTTATGTCTCTCTTTTTTTAATTTTAATCTTCATGATTATTTATGTTTTGATTTGTTTTTATTATGATTTTAATGTATTTCTTATTCTGTAAAGCACTTTGAATTACTTTGTGTACGAATTGTGCTATACAAATAAACTTGCCTTGCCTTGTCAATCAACATGTTGCTAAATCTGGCAGGATAAGGCACAGAAGAATCCTAACATGCTGCTACCCCACATACACTGTTTACTCCTGCCAAAAGTTTTTGTCAACACACCAAGGGGTCAGCAGTGGACCTCTACCCAACATAGGCCTAAGGTAGAGGGACAAATTTACCCGATTGCTTCAGCTGAAAAATGATTATTGCATGTTAAAAATATCTGGAAGAGAAATTTTGACTATGCTTTATGTAACGTTAATTTTGAGGCCAGGCTAAGGGTGTTAAAATAGGAAACATAAAAGTTAATTAAAGGAGCACAGGTTATAATAACAACCAGAAGTCAAAAATGTTGATTATTATAAATGTATTAAAAGTAAAATGAGAGACAAAGATAAATTATGAGATTATAAAGCACAAAAGTTAAAGTCACAAATAAATAAATGAAGTAGAGTCTATGAACAAAAGTAGTTAATTTTCAGTTGTTTTATTATAAACTACAGTTTGAAGACAGTTTGTACAAATCCCAGGTCCAATAATACAAAACAAATAGTCTGTCCCACCGCACAGACTCTTAGCTCATTATCTGGAAGTTTGTTGAGTTGAGGTTGTTTTTCAAATCACAGAATCAGTCCGTGGGAAATCTGACCTAGGAAGCCAGAAACACAAATAAGTATATCGTTCAAAATAATTACCTTAGTTACTTTAACATGACCACTATGACCAAATTAAATCAAGAGTATGTGTAACATACGTAGGAACGATACAGAGTTATGGCACTAAAACATAAACCAGGTATAATGTATAATTGAATTGTTGATAATTAATTATTCATCCTAGTACTGATCCAAAGTTCAGTTGAATTAAGTAAATTATGTGTAAATAAATCATTTGACAGATAAATGCATTTAGTTTGTATTCATCAAAATGTCAATTCCAAATACTGGTCAAAAATATCCAGGCAGAGATCACAGTTAGATCGAGTTTATAAATTAAAATGTTGTGTAAAAAACATACTATAAAGAAGTTAAAAGGTAGTTAAAGGAGTAATTGAAGATTTTGTCGAATAAAACAGACTAGCGACACTTTACACCGTTGAAATTTAATATAAGAGTTATTCACATAATGGCAAAAGACTCACCTTAGCAGGACAGTTGAAATACGCCGTTATTTAAAAATTCCAGAACTTTGTTGAGAGTTTTTACAGACAAAACACATCAGCCGCAGCTGAGAGTGAGGGGAAGTAAAGCGCGTGTACCTAAAGGAAGAGAAAAGTGCGGCAGCCAAACAGACTGAAGTAAGAGTCGCCAAAATAAAAGTCCGCTGAAATGAAAAGTGTATTAGATACGGGTCACGTTTAATCGCCGTTATTTCGGTCCCTTCTGATTTTAGATAAAACACTAAACTATTGCTAAAATGTTAAAGGCACCGTATTTTTGACTCGTTTGAAAATGTTCTGTTTGAAATTTAATTAAGCATGTTGGCTTGTGTTATTCAAGTGATAGAGTAACTTTAACCTAGTTTGTATTGGCTTGTTTTCTAACTTGGTATTATTAATTTAGTACTGAGTAAAAGTGCTTGTAGCTTTTATATATTAGTTATGGGTTAAATAAATGATATTGTTGAAGAATTTCAAACAATGTAATTAATGGGTAAAAGGGAAGCTTTGAGTCGTCTTAAAGCAACAACAAAGTACTGAACGGGGAAAGACAAGTATGGATTAAAAATGGAGCAACTATGACAGATGGAATTTATGTGTGACTACAATTGAAACCTGTCCTTCCGCGAAATCTATATAAGATTGCAGCTATTGTTGTTGTTGTATTGTTAGCCATGTTTCACATGTCTCAACAGGGGGGATGGTAGGACAGGTTCATAAATATTATACGACTTATGGATTCAATAATTACTCCAAAAACTTTTGTAGAGCATGTTTAATTTGTGCCAAACATAATTCACAAGGAAATTTGAGACCAAAAAGAGGACAATTTCCACAGGCTCAATATCCATTTGAAATAATCCATATGGATTATATTGAGCTCAATCAAAGTGAAGAAAAAAAATATTGTTTAGTAATAACTGATGCATTTTTCAAATGGATAGAATTATTTCCAACTAGAAATCCCGACGCTCTGACTGTGGCTAAAGCACTGTGTAAAGACATTATACCAAGATTTGGTATACCAGAGAAAGTCTATACTGATAATGGAACTCATTTTGTAAATAGTTTGATATCTCATATAGGTAAACTATTCCACATCGATTTGAAAAATCACTGCACATACCACCCTCAGAGCGCTGGGCTAGTAGAAAGAATGAATGGTACAATAAAAAACAGATTGAAAAAAATGTATGGAAGAAACAGGGCGACCATGGCCCCAGTGTTTAGATTTAGTCAAACTATATATAAACATTACTAGTACCACAGGCCTAACCCCATACGAAATAATATTTGGAAGAACGTACAAAATACCTCAATTTAGGAATGAATGGGAAATTAATGAAGAAGCTAACTTAGCAGACTATATGAGGAAAATATTAGAAAAACAAAGCAAAAATCCGTAAACCTTTTAAAATGACTAAAACTTCCACTGGCCTAAATCTGACCATGACTGACCTAGACCCCAAATTACCATGTCTACCAATTTGCTTATGGGCATATAGCGCTGACACAGACCCAATGTTCACAGTATTTGTATGCAGAAGCATTAATATGACTGAACCAATCACAGAAAAACTAACCCATGATAGGGGAGTCAAAGTAGCATTGGTTAACAAACTCACGACAGATGATTGGTTCCACGTCGCAACTGGTATCTCAGCCACATATAACAATTGGTTACTCTAAGCTGAGCAAGCAGCCAACACCGTAAAAGCTGATTGTGTAGTGTGTTTGGGTCCTAGACCTATACTTAAAGTAGTACCTGCAGCCATAAACTTAACATGTCTACAAACCCGTGGCAAAATTGCTCCTATTGGGACACAATATATCCAATAACACCCTTTGAGAAAGAGAAGCCTATTTTTAATAAACATGTCGCTAAAGCTAATTATTCTTGTATCCACATGACTGGAAGTGGTGTGCGTTTAGACAATCTCACAGCCTCCTGGGGTGTTGACATTTTCGAGGTCAGCAACCACTTTCAGCCTGTGTCCCGAGGCGATGTGTGGTGGTGGTGTGCCAAAGATAAACTTTATGATAGATTGCCAAGAAATGTGGTTGGACACTGTGCTTTAGTGTCCCTTTTGCTGCCCACGACCATACATCTCCTCCCTGGTAAACATTTATTACATGAGATGTCTAGTATCTTACCTAAAACATGGTCTAAAAGTAAGAGATCCTCCTCATGGAAAGGAGATTCTGACCCAACATATATTGATGCTATAGGAGTCCCCAGAGGAGTCCCCAGTGAATACAAGTTAGTAGATCAAATAGCCGCATCTTGTTCAGTAACTCCAAATAAAAAACATATATAGAATCAACTACATCCACTACAATGTTCAAAAACTAGGCAACTTCACTCAGGCTGGATTCGAGGCAGTGCATGAATAACTGGCAGCAACTTCTCTGATGGCGTTCCAAAATCGCATCGCATTAGATATGCTCCTGGCTAAAACAGGATCGGTGTGTACGCGATTTTTGGGGATACCTGCTGCACCTTCATCCCTAACAATACTGCGTCTGATGGTAGCTTGACCACAGCAATAGACGGTCTACGAACCTTTAACAAGCGCCTTAAAGAGCAGTCTGGCGTTGACCAGTCTATGTGGGGTGATTGGATGGATGTACTTGGAAAATACAAATCCATTGTGTCCTTTGCGCTGATCTCTATAGCCGCCATTTTAACATTGTGTGGTTGTTGTTGCATACCCTGTATTAGAAAATTAATTAATCGTCTAATCACCACTGCAATTGCCCCATATCCTGACGATAAGGCAGTGCAAGCACATTTGTTGGCTGGTGATGATTCATACATTGGGGACTCCTCCTCCTTGGCTCTCACTTCTATTTAATCATGACGCAGAAATACACGACTAAAATAACATTACCTCCGAGTGTAAAAATATAATTGCTCGACTATGAAATCATAACTGAAAATCGAAAGAAGTAGTTATGAATTGATTCTTCTTTTGCAAATATATGATAAACAGGAGGGAAATGTCAGAATAATTTTATTATCCCATATTTGCTAAATACTTGTGTGATATTCTATGCCTATGAGTTAACCATTTATGTACTACAATTCTTTGATTTATAATGTACCAATCACTTGTCACTTGTTGAATAACCTCTGTGTGTTTGACAACTGTGTGCAGTGTCCTGTCGCTCTAGTGAACCTCGAGATGATTCCTCACATGAAGCCAACTCCCACTGTCACACATGCAAGAGTTATGATGGTGTCTGACCAAACCTAAGGCACCTCCTGATTGTTAATCATGTTTTATGTGTTTGTACTATGCTTAGCTGCATCAGTTTCTTATTATGTCTTTGCTGTTTCCCCTTCCCCTTGAGAATTATCATTCTGTAACTAGGGCCTCCTAATGAAATAAAAAGAGAGAGCGGCCTTGAGGCATCAGAACGTGTGGAGACTGTTGGTCTGATGCCCACTCTCTGCCCGTTCTCCTCGCGAGTAAAACTGAATTAATCTCTTGTCTTTCTTCTTGTTTATAATGTTTAGATAAACCTAACAGTGTCCTCTGGGAAAGAAGGTGCAGAATTAGCAATTATCAAGAGATCAAAACTGATAATAAAAATGAAAATAATATAAATAATAATAATGCGCTTTACAGCCTTGTCAAAGTCCCTCAAAGTGTTGCACTGTGTCATTATTTATTCACTCCACACTCGGAGGTGGTAATCTACTATTATAGCACCTGCCCTGACTGGCGTAAGCGAGGCTGCCAATCTGCACCATCTGCAACAGAACCTGGTGTGAGCAGGAGTCTGAGCTTCTGTTAAAATGTGCACAAAATGAAGTGTACCTGTTCTGTCTCGAGTCAGAAATTCCACTTGTTTCTTCAGGCTCTTCAGTTCAGCATTTTGAGCTGATTTAATGTCAAGTGAAAAGAAAAAACACATTTAAACTTCGTACTTATGATGATTATGATGATTGTGATTCAGAGGTTTACCCTGGATTAAGTTCAGAAGCTTATCAAGTACTTTTCTTTGCTCAGCCAGTTCATCCTGTATGCTCCTGGGCACAGAGCTGGACTCCACTGCTGTTGTTGTTTGTCCTGCTCCCATGGCTGACGGAGAAACTCAGAGCTTCACCCACACACTCGATCTTCCTTTTTTATTTCAGGACCGGCCCGTCCAATCTCACGTCTTGCCCATCCAATCAAAAACTCCTACCTCACTGGACGGGGAGGAGGAGGGACGGGCTGGTGCTGTGCCCAGCTCCTCGTGCTTTCCGAGAAATACATCACAGCACAGAAAAGGCTGAGACAAATTCGGCAGGAAGGTTTTATAGTGTGTATCAGAGTGTGTGTGTGTGTGTGTGCATTTAAAAAATACATTAGTACTATACTTTTATCTCGATATACTAAAGTGGATTGCTGAATGTGGATACTTTATAATTCCCCCTTTTTTACACCAGTGATTGATTCGTTTTTATTTCGAGTTTGTGCCAAGAGGGAAACAATAATCATACAGAAAAGCACATTTCTCGAAAAGGAGCGTGAAGAAGAAAATAACTTTTATTTATCCAACCTTGTTCATGACATAGTTTCAAAAATTATGTAGTTGCTTCTGTGCATTGATCAAGAAACTTTACATATATTTACAAAAAGCAAAATAAATGACACATCCATTCATTTGTATTGTGCTGTATTGTGTTTTACAGTTATTATTTTATCTGTATACTTATTTATTTTTATTTGGAAAAGGGTAATGAGGTGAGGGCAGAAGAGAAAGGACACGGAGGGTGAAAAGCAGAGAGAGGAGAGAGAACAGGAGACAACAAGGCTCTAGTTTCATACTCTGGGAGCTCTCAGAGAATGTTTAGTTTCACTTTCGCTTCTGGGTCAGACTCGTATATCATGTCACTCCCAAACAAAACTCTGTGCACCACATGGACACTTGATCAGAAATGGCAAAAAAATAAATAAAAATTTACTCAGGTCCAATAAATAAGTCCAAAAACCTGAGTTGGAGTCTTCGTTTGTGTATTTGTTTGTTTATTAGGATCCACATTATCTGTATGTAAAAACACCAGCTAGTCTTCCTGGAGTCCTACTCTAATATTTAGTTCACCTGGTTTAGACCTGGTTTAGTCCTGGTTTAGACCTAGTTTAGACCTGGTTTAGACCTGGTTTAGACCTGGTTTAGTCCTGGTTTAGTCCTGGTTTAGTCCTGGTTTAGACCTGGTTTAATCCTGGTTTAGTCCTAGTTTAGACCTGGTTTAGTCCTGGTTTAGTCCTAGTTTTAGTCCTGATTTTAGTCCTGGTTTAGTCCTGGTTTAGTCCTGGTTTAGACCTGGTTTAGTCCTAGTTTAGACCTGGTTTTAGTCCTTTTTTAGTCCTGGTTTTAGACCTGGTTTAGTCCTAGTTTAGACCTGGTTTTAGTCCTTTTTTAATCCTGGTTTTAGTCCTGGTTTAGTCGTAGTTTAGACCTGGTTTAGTCCTGGTTTAGTCCTAGTTTAGACCTGGTTTTAGTCCTTTTTTAGTCCTGATTTTAGACCTGGTTTAGTCCTAGTTTAGACCTGGTTTAGTCCTGGTTTAGTCCTAGTTTAGACCTGGTTTTAGTCCTTTTTTAGTCCTGGTTTTAGACCTGGTTTAGTCCTTGTTTAGACCTGGTTTTCCATTTATTTCAATAAAGTAACTGTAATCCAATTACCACTCACTGAAACAGTAACTGTAACTGAATACAGTTACTCATAATTTGTACTCTGATTACATAACTCCGGTACATGTAATCTGTTACTCCCCAACACTGTTTATAGGTTAGTATATTTAGGTTGTATCTAAACATTGTAAATATTTATATTTTTAGGTCAGAAAATATGTGTTCTGTGAAATAATAACTGCAAATATATCTGGAAAAAATGTGAACAATGTGTTGTTTTTGAATCCTAAAATTGTTCTTTCTCACCTAAAAACGCTGTGGAGACAGGTCTGTTACTGTGACACAGTGATGTTACAGCACCATCTAGTGGTTCTTGATGCACACTACCAGTCAAACTTTTGGACACATCTGTTCAATGTATTTAGATTTAGATTTGGACTTTGATCTGGACATACAGCTCCCAGGTCCTTTGCTTAACTCTGATTGGCCCGTTTAAGCACATTTGGAATTACAAAATAAATTTTTTTTAATTTTACCTCATGCATGGACTAAAGCTGGTTTTATTTTAGAAGTGTTTTATTATTATTATTATTATTATTATTATTATTATTATTATTATTAGTAGTTAGTAGTAGTAGTAGTAGTAGTAGTAGTGGTAGTAGTAGTATTGTCATTATTATTATCATTATTATTAGTAGTAGTAGTATTATTACGTACATATATTAGGGAAAAAATGCAGACAGTGTTGTGCTGTTTTTTTTTTTGTTTTTTTTTTTGTGTGTGTGTTGTTTTTGTCTTTCTCACCTAAATACTGTGGTCAGGTCTGTTATTGTGACACAGTGATGTTACAGCACCATCTAGTGGTTCTTGATGCACACTACCAGTCAAACATTTGGACACATCTTTTCACTTATTCAGTTTAAGTTGAACACTTTATCATTTTGTGCACACGGAGAAAACAGCAAATTGGTGGTTTTCAGATTCTACAGTGTGATGATGTCGTACTCACACACAGAGTGATGATGAAGCCCCTGAAATGGTTTTCACTTCACAGCTGTGCCATGTCCAATTCAAATACCAAAAGTTGAAATAATAATTGAAGTGAAGGGTAAAGGCTATTTGTTTTAAGTGAACATGTTTTGAGTTAATTTATTTTTTGTTTGCTGCATTTCAGATATGTTTCAGATATGTCGTCCGATATTGTGATATCTGTGATATTTTGTGGAGGTTAACAAACCTCCCAATACGCTACTTTTTCCTCTTAAAATGCCTTGACAAGACGTAATCCAAAGACTTAAAAGTGTTAGAACTGTTATTTCTTCTTGTAGTCTGCACTGAAAAGGAGCAAAGGATCATGGTCTATGTAGTTTCCTCTGTCTTTTTTTTTTTTTTTTTTTTAGCAATTTCTGCACCATAACTCTTCATTTAAGCAAAAAGACTTGTAATTCGATATATTGTGATGGTCCACAATATTATTGTGTGACGATATCATGATATTTCGGTTATTGTTACATCCCTAATGATTACACAACATTATTTCATTATTTCATAAACAGGCGTCTCATTGCGTAATGACCGAAAGGACAGGATCGTGGATCGCTCCCTTAGAGATAGGGTGAGGAGCTCAGTCACACGGGAGGAGCTCGGAGTAGAGCCGCTTCTCCTCCACGTCGAGAAGAGCAGCTGAGGCTCGGGCATCTGTTCTGGATGCCTCCTGGACACCTCACTGGAGACGTGTTCCGGGCATGTCCCACCGGGAGGAGGCCCCGGGGAAGACCTAGGACATGCTGGAGGGACTATGTCTCTTGGCTGGCCTGGGAACACTTCAGGATCCCCCCAGAGGAGCTGGAGGAAGTGTGTGTGGAGAGGGAAGTCTGGGAGGCTCTGCTCAGACTGCTGCCTCCGCGTCCTGGCCCTGGATAAGCAGAAAAAAATGAAATGGAATGGAATAGCGTCTCATTGCTCATGTAGACTGTTTGCAGCAGACGTAGTCATACAACTCCCAGGCCCTTTGGTCGCCTCTGACCGGCCCGTTTACGATAATTTAGAATTACAAAATAAACATATTTTATAATTTTACCTCACACATGGACTAAAGCTGCATTGCTTTTATTTTAGAGGTGTTTTTTAAATTACATTTTATTGTAAGGCAACCTCATTTTTTCATTGCTGAGTCATAATATAAACTCTTACTAATGTAAAAAACAGGTGAAGTTGAGTTCTATGTACTTAAGTTGTATCTAAATATTGTAGATATTATATTTTTAAGTCAGAAAATATGTGTTCTGTGGAATAATAACTGCAAATATATTAGAAAAAAAAAATGCAGACAGTGTTGTGCTGTTTTTTTGTTGTTGTTTTTTTTGTCTTTCTCACCTAAATACTGTAGTCTGTTAGTACTGTTATTGTGACACTGATGTTACAGCACCATCTAGTGGTTCTTGATGCACACTACCAGTCAAACTTTTGGACACATCTTTTCACTTATTCAGAATAAGTTGAAGACTTTATCATTTTGTACACCATACTGTGAGCTTAGCCACGATATCGCAATAAATATTGTACCACAAAGTTCATACTGTGACAATATCGTATTGTGACACTTGGATATTGTTACACCTCTGTGGATACTATAAAAAATTTGAAAAAAGTGTTGTTATTTAATATTTTCTTTCCTACATGCAGGGCCCACACTCACAAGGGCCCCCTGCTTTCTTTGCCCTGTTCCTCCTTTTTATCTCCGTCCCCTGGTCACTCTGAAGTCACTCAAACCACAACAACAAACAAACAAACAAACCATTTTCATCATCGCCGTTTATTGAGTTTCAGGATCAACATGATGTGAAAGAATCCATTCAAACAAAGTGAGAAATGACCCAGATCAGATGAGTCTCGCGTCTGTGGTGAAGCTGCAAACTGAACTCGAAGAGAGGAAAAAATACATGGACATAAACCTTTAGAAACACATGAGAGAAACACAAGCTGCTCCTGGTGCACATTTAAAGCTGCTTTGGGATTATTTTGTCTCGTGTTTTGTGTCTGTCTTTCTTCCTTTGGGTTTTGCAGGTTGCTCTTGTCACGTCACAACGGGATTCACAAAACAGAAGCAGGAAAATACTTTGTCTCTTCAAAACGTTTTTATCTGTGATCTCGTTGCAAGCTCTAAATAAAGTAATAACAGATGGCAAGCGATGCAAAATAGTGATCCATTATATTCACATGCTCTCGGACTCTTGATAACATGCTCACACTTCTTATGTTTTCTATAAGTTTTTATGTTAATTTATTAGAATTGAGGCTCACAGGTCTTTATATTTTAAGCAGCAATAAGAGAAATAAGGATTAAACAACAAGGAGCAGTCTTTAAGAGAGTCAACACTGTCAATATTGATTTGTATTTGCATGTTTTGATGTATTTGAGTAATTTTAAAGGTAGAAATTAGGGATTTTCACGATAATAAAAGGCTAATAAAAGGTCTGAAACTTGACAAGTGTGATTGTGTTTCATTACAGCTGCTACTGTTGGCAAAATAAGTGTAAAATACAAATAAAATAAATGTCGAAAATTGAGGAGATGGTCTCGATTTGGTCTGGATGTGCCGTGGTCTTGGTCTTATGTCGGTCTCAACTTTTAAAAGTCTTGGTCTTGTCCTGGTCTCGACCTGTAAAAGTCTTGGTCTTGTCTCAGTCTCGACCCTCTGAGGTCTTGGTCTTGTCTGAGTCTCGAGCCTTACAGGTCTTGGTCTTGTCTCGGTCTCTGGACCCCGTGGTTTTGGTCTCGTCTCAGCCACGACCTTTAAAAGTCTTGGTCTTGTCTCAGTCTCGGGACTGTGGTCTTGGTCTTGTCTTTATCTCGACATTTAAAAGTCTTGTTCTTGTTTCAGTCTTGAGCCTCACAGGTCTTGGACTTGTCCTAGTTTCAGGACCCTGTGGTCTCGGTCTTGTCTCGGTCTCGACCTTTAAAAGTATTAGTCCTTTCTCGGTCTTGACCCTCAGAGATCTTGGTCTTGTCTCAGTCTCGACCTCTAAAAGTCTTGGTCTTGTCTCAGTCTCAAGCCTCAGAGGTCTTGGCTCAGTCTCTGGACCCTGTGGTCTCGGTCTTGTCTCAGTCCTGACCTTTAAAAGTCTTGGTCTTGTCTCGGTCTCGACTCTCAGAGGTCTTGGTCTTCTCTCGGTCTCAGGACCCTGTGGTCTCAACTGGTTTTGGTCTTGATTAGTGTGGTCTTAACTACAACACGACTTGAATACATTTGGATTTTTTGTGAACTTGCCTGCAGTCTGCTTTAGCTAAACCTGGTGTAAAACGTCTCTTCTTTTGTGAGATGAATGTGTTTGCAGATGGTTCCTGTAAAAATAAACCAATAAATTGAACTATAACAGATAAAACACAGTAACGCTTTGCTCCAAGTTGTTTAATCCGTTTATACTGTGGTCCCATCAACTGAAAATGATTCATTTTTGAATCGAATGACCTTCTGGTTTTCTGTGAACGTTCAAAACATTATATATTTCTGTTTTCATTGAAGTTAGTCCCTCCTAACAGTAGTTAAAACAAGTCTGCAGCGCTCTTTCCAGTTTGATATAAAAATAACTCATGAGACTGGTGTGTGGGGGTTCTGAGGTTGGTTCACTTGGGCACTTGGTCGAGGCGTTCACAGACAAAACACGACATCACCCACTCCTACGATCACATGAGCACACGTCTACCACCACCGCGTCACCACACGGACAGCACCTGACGCCACGAAGGGGAAATCCTTGGCTGTGTTCAATTGCTGTCAGTTTCCAATAAAATCCTAGCAGCTAATAAACTCATTTACAAAAGTTCACTCTGAAACTTTTAGGAGGAGGGTCCGACACCTGCTCGTCTTGATAAAGATGTTATTGCTTTTAAAGAAGACCTATTGTGCCTTTGTCTCCTACATATCTGTAACTGACACCTGTGAGTTATTATGTTACAATCTGGACATTTAAATTGTAATATTCATCTAAACCGACTTAATAAAAGAAACAAGTCACTGACTTCCGCATTAGAAAACTCCAGTGCCCAGTGGGAGTTGACGTCGCTGTAAACCTCATCACAAAAAGACTCAGCACCTCCTATGGAGAGCTGCAACTGGTTTTTCATTTGTAACAAATGACCACACGACAATGCCGAATCCTGTGTGTATCACTCAATAATTAATTAAGAAAATGTGTGTGAGAAATTCAATTTGTGGCCATACCGGCTTGTCAGAGCCTGATCCCATCAGATCTCAGAAGTTCAGTAGGGCAGGGCCTGGGTAGTACTTGGATGGGAGACCACTGGGAAAATCAGGTGCCACAGGGGGCGCCAGTGGCAAAAACTGCCCTTGTGTCCTTAGACAAGACACTTCACCCACATCGCCTAGTATGAAAGTGGAGTGTGTGAGTGATGGTGGTGCTTGGAGGCAGCTGTGGCTACCACCACTGAGTGTTGAGTGAATGAATAATGATCTGTAAAGAGCTGGGTATCTTGAAAGGCGCTATATAAATGTATTTAAATTAATTTATTTATTTATTTGTCAACTGGACAAAAGTTTATTTTGGTCATGTCGCAGCTCATCCAAACTGCTTCTTCAGTTCTGGTCCGATGCTGGAGGACACTGCCTTATAACTGCCTGAAGGGAGGCAGCTAACTACACTGAAACTACTCTGAAACTAACAGCCTACTTGTTTACAGTTTCTGTTTGTAGCTAGGCCTATTGAACTTATACTGAATGTGGGGTCATATTAGCAGAATCATTCAGGGCCATAATGTACCTTTCACACCTCTGGACCTGACCTGTTTACCCCTATTGTTCTCTTTGTTTGTTTTAATTTAGGTTTGAGGATAGATTATAAATGAGAGTCCTCCATTTCTGTTCAAAGACGGTTTGTCTTTCCTAACAAAACTAAACCTCTTTAGCTCCCCTCTAAAACCAGTTCTTTTCTCTGGCTCAGATCTGTACCTCACTGTCCTCAAAGGAGTGACTCGTGACTTTTAGATGGAGATGTACAGCAGACTGAGGTCCTGTGTTGCTCTCTCGTCTGTGTTGGTACATCCTCTTGTGACGTGGCTGTTTTGTTTCGCCAATGTAGCTCTCACTGCAGTCTTCACTAATTGAGAAAATAGAAATTAGAGAGCGAGATACAGAGCAGAGGGCGGTGAATACAGGGGTTGATCGGCAAAACGGTGTCTTAAAAATAAGCGATTGAAGATAGTTTAAACATGCGTGAATCACTCTGAATACAACTTTGGATGAGTGAATGAGAAGGAAACAACTATAACATGATTAAAAGGTCTGTGTACCATTCATTCTTTTGAATTTCAATTAAGAACGATAAACAATCAAATAAAAAATGAAAAACAGTTACTTCATTATTCCATTTTAGTGTCAAACAAACAAACAAACAAACAAAAAAACAGATATCGATTGCCAATTTCCAATATTTAATTTATAGTTGATCAGAACACCAATCAAAAAACAGTCTCGGTGCCTCTTTTAATTTTGATATTTTATTCTCTCTGATTTATTTGCCCCGGACGTTCTGCTGCTAGAAGGAAAAACATAATTGCAATTTTGTGGCCAAACTTTCGCATCTTAGAAAGTCATTGTTGAACTCCATGACGAGAAACAAGAAGCAGCGATAAACTCTCCTTATTTAAAATTGTTTTTATTATAAACCAATGGTCGACACCGCAGCAGAACTTCCGGGACAAATAAACCAGAGAGAATAAAATATCAAAATTAAAATAGGCACCGAGACTGTTTTTTGATTGGTGTTATTTGAAGTTAAAAATTGGAAATAGAGGTTGAATTTTTTTTTGTTTGACACTAAAACGGAATAATGAAATAACAAACTGTTTTCCCATTTTATTGTTTTTTGTGCTTACGAATGGACAAGTGGCACACAGACATTAAAAGCTTTAAAAAGTTGATTTTGCAGAGTAGGTCTGCTTTAAACTGATCTATCTCAATACAGACAAACAGATGAGTTTAATACCATACTGTGGAACCTTTCAGACAAAGCAATAACATCTCCATGGAGACAGGCAGACTGCAGACCCTCCACCAAAAAAGTCAGAGCGAACCTTTAAACCTACAGCGAAAAAAATGTGCACAAGAAATCAACTTTACTACTAAGAAACTACGTCATTTCACATACACCAAGAACATTCAATAAAAATATTCCTGACTATTTTTTTTTTTTGTGTGTCAGTTTTACATTCAGATAATTTTAACAGTCAGCATCAGTAACCTCCAGAGCGAGTACACTGTCATGTTTTAACCGGGGCCCTGTGATGCACGTGTGACAGCGCCCCCTTGTGTCCCGCACGGTGGGTGATCCGGGAGGTGTTTCCGGTGATGGTCATCGTCATGGTAACGCTGCCCCGCCCCCTCCCGGTCAGTCTAGCGCATCTTGTAGTCGTGGGAAATGGCCGCTTCACACAGCTGCCCCTTGAAATCCAGCTCGAAGGTGAAGTCCAGGTCACGCTGAGAGGAAAAACAACAACGTCAGTCACAGTTTTAAAACAGACGTAAAGATGCACTGTGTAGTTTTCCGTGGAGATGTTGCTTTTCCTGGAATAGTCCAAAGTATTAAACGGACAGTTGGGAATTTTGGACATAGGACCTCATTTCCTAGTGAGTCAGAGTGTTGGAGACGTGTGGAGACACTTTTTTAAATATTCCATCCAGTCCTTGTATTTGCAGAGGTCACTGGTGCTAGACTAGTGCATGTCAATGGTCATAGTTATACTGACACTAAAAACAGTCTTACCCACTTCATAAAACACCTGAAACAAATCTATTATTACACCAGACTGTCGATGTAAATGTCTGTGTTGATAGAATAATGTTTGAAATAAAACTAACCTTGCATCGCGTGAATCGTCGCATGTTGAGGGACTATTTTCTCATATATCAGTCCGCCGCTGCCGAGCTTTCTATCAGGAAGTACAACTCACTGCTGCTGCTCAGACATAAATCCTTCAAATTTAGTGTAGTGTTGTGTCGTCTAGTCTTGTCTAGTCAATAAGCAGACAGATCATTAAGTGTCCTCTTACAGAAGTCCCAGCCTTTAAACACAAACTGAGCCAACTTGAACACATTAAATTTAAACAAATACTCCAGTCTCTCCTCATCAGACACAGAAAACCAACAGTAAGACACATTAGACAACCAGTGTCGGGGAGTAACAGATTACATGTACCAGAGTTATATAATCAGAGTACAAATGATGAGTAACTGTATTCAGTTACAGTTACTGTTTCAATGAGAGGTAATGGGATTACAGTTACTTTGCTGAAATAAATGGATTACACAGCGGGATTTTCCTGTTTTCACATTTTGGGCTATCCCTTTTTTTCTTTTTTCTTTCAGTAATTCCACTCATTGCCGGACACTAAAACAGGTCTAAACCAAGTCTAAACCCAGGTCCAAACCAGGTCCAAACCAGGTCTATATCTGGTCTAAACCAGGACTAAAACAGGACTAAAACCAGGTCTAAAAAAGGTAAAAAACCTGGTCTAAACCAGGACTAAAACCAGGTCTAAACCAGGTCTAAACCAGGACTAAACCAAGACTAAAACCAGGTATTAACTATGTCTCAAACAGGATTTAACTGGACTAAATCATGCTGCACGGACTGTGTCTCCTCGTCTTCTATCAATAATATTTTTAATACGGTTCAGTAAAGTCTGGGTATTTCATTGTCTTTTAGCAGACAAAACATCTTATGTGAAGGAAGATTTCCTAGTCTTTGCTTCTCTACAGCAAATCAAATAATCCAAAGTATTCAGATTACGTTACTCACTTTAAATAATTTAATGGATTATGTTACAAACTACATTTTGGGGTATGTAATCTGTAATCTGTAGGGGATTACATTTTAAAAGTAACTTTCCCAACACTGTAGACAACAACTGACAGTGCAGGCCATGATACAAGGACAGTAGAACAGAAAATGTATTTAATTTTCAATGTCCTTTAAGTCACAAAGACACATGTGCACTTTTCCTCTAGGACTGAGTGGAAGCGTCCCGTCTCCAAGGCCAGAGGCAGAGTCCCACACCTCAGCTGGACACATACTGACCTCTGACCTTATTTAGATTATTTATAATAATAACAGACATTTACCTCGACAGTCTGGTGAAATAATAGATTTGCTTGTAATAATTGATTTGCTTTGTGGAGTGGGTAAGACTGTTTTTAGTAGCACCAGTGACCTCTGCAAACACAAGGACTGGATGGAATATTTTTAAAAAGTATCTCCACACGTCTCCAACACTCTGGCTCACTAGGAAATGAGGTCCTGTGTCCAAAATTCCCAACTGTCCCTTTAACCTTGCACAGAGAGATGGATTCTTGCAATTTTTGTCAGTTCACAAACTCATGAGAATCCATCTTGGCGCCTGCTGCAAGGTTAATCAGACGGATGGACCAATCACATGTCCTGAAAATGTAACTTGTCGTCAACTGACTAAATAAAAAAAACAAACATAAATCTTACATAAACAGAGTAAAAACCAAATTACTGTATTTTTTGGACTATTAGTCACACTTTTTTCATGGTTTGGGTGTTTCCTGTGACTTCTAATAATTAAATCTGCACATAGGCTAAGGGAATGTGCAATAATTATAATTAAAGCTGCACATAGGCTTAGGGAATGTGCAATAATTAATAGAACAGAAGAATGCACGGGCTTGCCTGTTAAGGATAATTTTAAGGGTCCTGTTGGTGCATCACTCGTGGTCATACTTGGCCTCATATTTACTTTGTTTTATGGTGTTTGTTTATGTGCTGCTTTGTGTTGTGTTGTCCTGTTTCTTGATAAAGCATGTTACCCCCTGTCCCAAGACAAATTTCTCCCATGGGAGACAATAAAGGATTGTCTTATCTTATCTTATCTTATCTTCTACTCCGGTGCGACTTATATATTAAAGTTTCACACTGACAGCCACAAGGGGGCGCTCTAGTCTTGTGTGTCAGTATCTGCTGCTCCTGTTCCTCCTGTACCACTGTCACTTCACTCTACTGCGCATGTCTCCTGCAGAAAGAGTTGCCGTTCTGTCTGGTACATAGACTCACTTTTACTGTCTATGTGTCTGGTGTCATCACACGGCGATAAACTGTTAATCATATTTTGCAGATTACAAGCTGCAAGTAGTGAAATCTGCAGCTGAAAACGGTAATCAAGCAGCAGAAAGAAAGTTTGGAGTGAGAGAGAAACTTGTGAGGGACTGGAGAAAATCAGAGGATACTCGAACTGCAGTGAAGAAAACAGAAAAAGTTAAGTTGGCAGAGTTGCTCAGAAGTGACACCGAGGATGAAGAATTTAATAAACTTAGTGATTTGGAGTGAGATGGAGAGTTTGGTAAACCTGTTCTGTTCTGTTGTTTGTTCTACAATTATTTGAATAACTGTTCATATGTGACGTGAACATATCAGACGCCTTTTCAGCCTGTGTTATTAGGTTCTTTTTTCAGACCAACAGTTTGTTTTCATACCTGACAGTTTCGACTGCTCCCTTCGCTCTTCCGCACAGTCACGTGATGTTACTGTGACGTGTCGCTCAGCTGATTTAAACAGGTTTTGGTGCTGTTTTCCTATCGGTGGAGGCAGGACGACAGCGCCATCTGCAGTCTGACCTCCTCAGGACAGTATCCCAGGAGTGTCAGAGTAAAAAGACAGCGCCAAAACTTGTTTAAATCAGCTGAGCGACACGTGACAGCAACATCATGTGACTCTGAGGAAGAGCACTAGTGAGCAGTCGAAACTGTCAGGTATGAAAACAAACTCTTGGTCTGAAAAAAGAACCTAATAACATGAATTATCAGAACATGAAATGTACCTCATTGGCCTATCCAGCCTGTTGTTCTCTGTTCTATTGTTATTAATATTGATTTATTGATTTAAGTATTTATTTTGGGAAAATAAGAAATGTACATCCTTTTACAACACATAACATCAATGAAATCATAGCAGAAATAACAAAAAAATAAAATTAATAAATATAAAAAATCTGGCCCAAAAAGGAGTGGGAAGAAGAAAACATATGGGAAGAAGAAAACTTATAATATATAATTATAACTTGTCTTTCAAGATGAAATGTCAGTTCCTGGTCTCTGATTTTATATATTAAAAAAATTCCCCCCAAAAAGTACCACTTACATATGTTTTTTTCTTCTTTATGATGCATTTTTTGGCTGGTGTGACTTTTACTCCAGAGCGACTTATACTCTGAAAAATACAGTACTTAAAAATGCAATTAATATTCTGAATTTGAATGATTTTAAAGGGTCTTGTGTTTTTGCCGTGCGTTCAAAAATCAGGTCCCATATTTGAGCCCCAGGTCCAGTGTTTGTTCCTATGACGACTGGAAACATCATGAGGAGCAAGGACACTGTGATGTCAAGATGTGATCTGTTCTCAAGTGTTTTCAGAGTCTGGTACAAACCCTTTTCATTTCCATGCAAAGAAAGGACATTGCAAAAATATCATGAAAATAGAGTAAGCCATAGCAACACATCTTGTAAAAATGGCAACAGACTTTCGCACAAAATCCTCTGCAGGACATTGGTTTCTGGATTTAGTTCATTTCAGTGGAATTTAAGGAAAACATATTGAGCTTGACACAATATCCTGGATGATTATATTATATTTTTAATAAAAGAAACAAGTCTGCTGGCTTCTGTGTTAGAAAACCACAGTGGCAAAGCAATAACATCTCCATGGACAAAGGCCTGCAGCACATCTGAAATAAACATAATACTTATACACAGTGTTGGGGAGTAACAGATTACATGTACCGGAGTTATGTAATCAGAGTACAAATTATGAGTAACTGTATTCAGTTACAGTTACTGTTTCAATGAGAGGTAATTGGATTACAGTTACTTTGTTGAAATAAATGGATTACATGGCGGTATTTTCCTGTTTTCACATTTTGGGCTATATTTTTATTTTATTTGTATTTTTTTTTGGTAATTCCACTCATTGCTGGAAACTAAACCAGGTCTAAACTAGATCTAGACCAGGTCTAAACCAGGTCTAAACCAGGTCTAAACCAGGTCTAAAATAGGACTAAAACAGGACTAAATCCAGGTCTAAACCAGGACTAGACCAGGACTAAGACCAGGTCTAAACTAGATCTAAACCAGGACTAAAACCAGGTCTAAACGAGATCTAGACCAGGTCTAAACTAGATCTAAACCAGGTCTAAACCAGGTCTAAAACAGGTCTAAACCAGGACTAAACCAGGACTAAACTAGATCTAAACCAGGTCTAAAACAGGTCTAAAACCAGGACTAAACCAGGACCAAAACCAGGTCTAAACCAGGTTTAAAACAGGACTAAAACAGGATTTAACAGGACTAAACATGCTGCGTGGACGTGTTTCCTCCTCTTCTATATTTTTTAATTTGGTTGAGTAAATTCCTCGTCTTTGCTTCTCTACAGCAAATCAAGTAATCCAAAGTATTCAGATTACATTACTCACTTTAAGTAACTTGATGGATTCCGTAACAAACTACATTTTGGTGTGTGTAATCTGTAATCTGTAATCTGTAGAAGAATACATTTTAAAAGTCACCTTCCCAACACTGCTTATAATAATGGAAAACTCACAATATTCTTCTCGTTGGGCTTCATGGAGATGCTTCCTGTGATCTCCTCTCCTCTCCTCACGGTCAGATAATCCTCCAGGTAAAACACCGTCTGTTTCCAGTGTGTGTATGAGGCGTCTGGAGCTGAAAAAGGAATAAAAATGGAATAACACCTGTACTACGACAGGCTCCAGCACCGTGTACATGTGAATACATTTCTAGGGTTTAATATTCAGGTGTAACATTCAGGTTTTTCTCTTACTTCAGGGTCATGTGGATCAAAATGTTCAGTGCTTGTGTGTGTGGAAAGTATACTGAGATTATTTTGTTATGAAACATGTGAAATTAGGTTCATGTTATTTATATCAAATACATAAAGATCAATCAGTAGTGGAACGTAAAAGAAGTGAAGTACTATACTTAAGTACACCTGTTAGGTATCTGTACTTTACTTAAGTACATATAAACTGGATACTGTTACTTTTACTTCATTGAGTGTAAGTATCTGTGCTTTCTACTCCACTACATTTTTGAACTGGACTGAAAAGTAAAAGTATTTTTTATTATTGTGTGAGACCTGCTGAAAACGCTGATAAATAAAAACAGAAGAAGAAAAAAAAAAAGAAAATTTAATCATTTCTGTCAATTCAAAACAAATCTATATCACAATCACTACTAGATCTCAAAATCTGTGTGAAACCCTTTTTTTTTTGCTATCATTTTTTCAAATTTGTAATCAGACAACATCAAATTACATTAGATATTATAGTTTGAGACCTGCTGAAAAGCCTGAGGATTTATTTTGAACACATTTGTAGTTTGTAAAAACAGCTAGAAAAAAAAAGGGAAAAAAAAGAAAAAAGGATTGATTCAATTGTTTCTGTTGAACAAAATCAAAACTACATTTCAAATTTTGTTAGACCTCAGAATCTGTGCAAAATACTTTTACTTTTTACTCTTTAAGTAAATATTTAAACAGGTGCTTCAGTTCTTTTACTTGAGTAGATTTTTCAAGTGATACTTTTTTTTTTATGAGAAGAACTAAATACAATTATTTCACCTTTGAAAATGATTTTTACCTTCAAATTTCCGGCACTAGCATGGGAACAGTCTGTGCACCCAACTATGCCAACTTATATGTGGGTCTTTTTGAAAACAAATTTGTATTTAATTCTCTCTCAATAATTTATCAAGCATAAAAAATGGTTTAGATACATTGATGACATTTTTTGTATATTCCATGGCAGCATTCAACAGCTGGAAAGCTTTGTGTCACTCTTAAACAGTTTTGATTCCAACCTTCAATTCACTGCACAATTTAGTTCTAACAAAGTAAGTTTTTTGGACATGTGGGTACGAAAGGACAATGGGAATATCATCACCTCATTGTATCGTAAAGAAACTGACAAAAACACTTTACTGTTGGCCTCTAGTTTCCATCCGACTCCCCTAAAAAGAGGTTTGCCTACAAGTCAATTTTATCGATTACGAAGAATTTGCCATTCCACTGAGGACTTTATTCAACAAGCCACTGATATGAAAGTGAGATTCCAACAACGAGGGTACCCTATGTCTTGGATTGATGATGCTTATGGGCAGGCTCTCCATAAGTCACGGACAGATTTATTAAAAAAGAGCACCAAAAGGCAGAAACATTATTCCGTAACTTGTATCACCCAATATTTGACCCATACACCTGCAATTAAATCAATTTTCCTGAAATACTGGCATATTTTGAAATCAGACCCGGAAATTTCAACCATCTTTAAAGATCCTCCACTCTTTGTTCACAAACGAGGCAAAAATCTTAGAGACTATCTGGTACGGGCCAATTTCACAAACAAAACTAAACTATCCTCCCAATCTCTATTGCACCCTCTACCCAATGGTAACTACCGATGCGACAGCTGTGCTCAATGCAATAATACTGTAAAAACTGATCATTTTTTACATCCTCACACTGGTAAAAAATATCCCATAAAAAGTGTTATCACATGTGCATGTACACATGTAGTCTACATGTTGAAATGTCCATGCGGCCTAGTGGACATTGGAAAGACCACAAGAAAACTTAAACAAAGAATAAGTGAACACAAGAGCTCCATCAGAAGAAACGACCGGGACGACCCTGTAGCTGTACATTTTAATGATCAGAGACATGATATTTGCTCTCTACGTTTCTTTGGCATTGAGCATGTCGCCCCGCCACCCAGAGGAGGGGACCATGACCGCATACTTAAACAAAGGGAAGCATTTTGGATTCACACTCTCCAAACTTTAGCTCCTAAAGGATCAATGACGATTTTAATCTTAGCATCTTTTTGTAAACATTAGTTTACATCATTAGGACTCTTGTTTTGGGTGGGCTGTATATGGGCTACAGCTTAAGATTCATTGTGTATATATATAGACGTGTATATGGCACGACAACATTATTTTATAGTTGGGTGAATGTTTACTATGTCTATATGTATCCAGATATTCTTCTTATTCTATGATCGTTATATGATGATTTCATTATTATTATTTGTATTATTATTACACTATATGTTGACTCTTTGTTTTTTGAATTATGGGGTTTTGTGTGCACTGTTTCTTTATGACCTGTCACCCTTGGGTGCTTGCCACACCCTATTTAAGATGGCCACCTGAGCTCTCATTCTGTTTGCCTGACGAAGGCCTAGTGCCGAAACGTTGCACGGTTTGTCCTAATAAATTTCACAGTTTGCAAGTAAGACGGTGTGCGGGATTTTTCTGTATGTTATGAGAAGAACTAAGAAAAAAAGTGACAGTATTTCTGTTCAAGGAGTTACTTTATGGAACAACAGGAATAATGATTTTAAAAAGTCTAACACCGTAGAAGCCTTTAAGAAAAAGACTTATAAAGCGTTATGTTTTGAAAGATAAAGAGCTCTGGAATGAATGGAATATACATAAAATTTTATTTGTTTTAATTTACATTTTATACTGTAAGTCATATATGAAATTGTAAATGCAAACTTAACTTTTCATATTCTGCTTTTCTTTCTTGGAATTCTGTCATTGTTTAATAGAGTTTGGCGTTATACAGTAAATACTTTTTACTGCCTAAAGTCTCTTGGGTTTGTAGTCTATGTTTTGTTTTGTTTTGTATTGTAGTGCTGCAAAATTACTACTGCTACTACTACTTTTAGTTTTTCCAACAGAACTCAGTCCAGCTGGGGGCACCACTACTTACCGACCACTGCTGTGTACAGATTCTGTCCCAGTCCTCAGATGTAAGAATTATGTTACCCTCTACTTCCCATCTTGTCTTTATGTAAACAGTATCATAGTTCTCTAGATTTTGAAGACTCGCATATAACTTTGAAATTATTTTTTGATGGGGAGAGTCTTCATATGCATTTTGAAAAATTTCAAGAATATCACTTTTAGTCAAATTTGTTTTTTTGACTGAACCTTTTTGTAACAAAATATCTCATTTGTAGGTATCTAAAATGATCATGATTTGTCAATCCAAATTTGTCCCTGAGGTCCTGGAAGCTTCTTATCACCCCGTCCTTAATTAGAGTGCAATATGTTGTAAGACCTTTATTACACCACATCTTAAATCTTGAGTTATGTCTACCAGGAATAAGATCAGAATCATAAGCAAACCACTTAAAAAGTCTTGCATTTTCACATAATTTAAACCTTTTTAGTATTTCAATCCATGCCTTTATGGAACTTTTGAGTAACTGCTTTGTAATATTTGACAGATCATCCAGCAATGATCTGAGCGTTTATTTTCTCATCTTATTATTGTTGTTATTATTATGTATTTGTGCAGCACTTTGGAGACTTTGTTTGTGAAATGTGCTGTATAAATAAAGTGGATTGGATTGGATTGAACATTTAAGTCTTATTGTTTGGATTATTTCGTAGAATTATGAGCCACTAAACCTGCACTTCACCTCTTCTCCACCAGAGGTCAGTCTAACATTATTCTGTCTCAGGAAGCAGCCGGGCCTGTCCTAAACGATCGCTCCTGATGTGTGTGATCAAAGTCATCAGACAGATCTCTATTCCTCTAACGTTCAGTGACAACTCCATTAACTTCAGTCATCAGCAGCTCTGAGTCCATCACGTTAGAAAAACTCTGTCATCTTTGCACCTCGGGGACCACACCGAGACTGGACCACGTGATCTGGAGCTCTTCACTCACACCGTTCCTGTTATCTGTGTTGTTACAGACGCAGGGTGAGCAGATTTTTCTGAATTATAAACTGGGACACACCCGGGTTAGTTTGGTTGGTATAAATAAAACTGTGAAAAGAGCGTGGAACATTGTGGATTCTCGTTTCAGTCGTAATCTGAGGGATTTCTGACGCTGCATTTTTTGCGTTATTGTCATTTGCAAACACGGATTTCTGTATTTTGGCTAAACAAATGATGATTTATGCTGCTCTTTACGGTTTTCGGGGATCAGATTAGTCAAAAATTGTGATAGTCCTGATTTAGTCCTATTATAGACCTGATGTAGTCCTGGTTTAGATGAAATTGGTCAAAAATAGGGACTCCTGGGACATTTCTTGTATAAAACTCTTAAAACTGCTGGGACAGGGGACACAGGGTTCAAAACTGGGACTGTCCCGAGTAAAAAGAGAAGTCTGGTCACCCTAAACCAGGCGTCTCAAACCTTTTTTCCTCCAATGAGCAACCTTTACAAAATGAAAATGCCAGAGAGCAACTATTTTTAGCAGTCACAAAAAATTATGTACTGTATTTTCCGGGCTATTAGGCGCTCTGGATTATAAGAAGCACTGTCATTAAATGGTCTATTTTCAAACTTTTTTCACAAATAAACCGCACTGGACTTTAAAGGAAACGCAACAGTTGGATGGGTGAGTGGTTTTGTTTGTTTGTGGCGTTCACGGTGACTCTGGGCTTTGTTCAGTTGTGGCGTGTAGGGAGGGTGCTGTCTGGGACCAACGGATTGTCGGCGTGTTCGCAGTGACTCAGTTGTTCAGTCTAGAAGTGGCACATTGCACTCGCTTTTTCGGTTTGTTCCTCCGTTCCGTTCCTCGTCGGCGTGGAGTGATGAGTGTGGCTGTGGGTGTTTTTCTCTGTGCGGTCGCTGTCTGCTCCGTGTGTGTTTGCGTGCGCTGTGGGTGGTGCGGCTTTGTAGTTTACTGAAGTCGTGCTGGGACACCCGAGTGGATTCGGGCTCTGGATTGTGGCACGCAGTCGTTTTTTTTATGGGGTTGTAAGCTTTAGAGCGTGTCTAATAGCCCGGAAAATATGGTATATTTAAGAGTCACTCAAGCCTTAAATGAAGTACAGTTAGAGGCCTATAAAATAGGGATGTGCAAAAATATCGGAATATCGATATATCGTATCATTTAATGTGATGATACAGTATCGATATCGTGGGCTACTGTATCGATATATCACCAAGAGTATTTTTACTTGTGTTTTACTAAATTATTTTGTTACAGACCTACAGTTTTGTTCCTTGTTGAGTGAAAGGAAACTCATTTATGCGACACATTTGACATTTTGACTCTGTTTTGATGATTAAAATGTTTGTGTTTCATATGAACTTTGCACAAGAAGTGGTTTAACAAAAACTTTTAGTATCACAGCCATGATTTAGCCTTTATTTTTTACTGAACTGTATCGAATTGAATTGAAATATATCGTATCAAATTGAAAGTGCACTGTGTTGAGATATGTATCGTATCATGGCCTGTGTATCGAGGTATGTATCGTATCGGCAACTTCTTGATGATACCCAGCCCTACTATAAAACATAACTTATTATTAATTTATCAGTGTACAAATGTTAGGCATCAAAATAATACATGTACAATGGTAATAGGCATTTAATTAATTAAATTTTACTAATTCAGGACAATATGTGTAATTCAGAAATCCCTTGGCGTTGCTACTAGGAAAGGAGTGGTGAGCTACCGGTAGCTCCAGAGCTACAGGTTGGAGACCCCTGCCCTAAACAGAGCTAATTATCTTTGTCATTTTGCCCGTTATCATGTGAGGCCAGTCTGTGGAGGTGCCATGTTCTTAAGCTGAAATATCTGTTATATTGGTGAGAAAAATCTGAATAATCAGTATCTAGATTTTAATAAGTTGATCTTCTTTTTAGCATCAAAGTCCAGATGACAAATAACATCACACACTTTCCACTTTCAAATTCTTATGTAAAGTTGATTGAGTAAATTCTATAGTGCAATTAGTTGTACATAATTACCAAACAACATTACATTATTTACCAAAGAAATGTGCACATTATTACTTACAAGAGTCTATACTTGTTCTGTGTTTACAATGTTCAGTCATTGCACACATTTTGTTTTTGTTTAGAATAATAGTGGTGGTATTTATTTATTTATTAAGCTTTTTAAATAATTTATTAGTTTAACTTTCATGTTTGGTGTATTTGTTTTGTAAATAAATGTTATTGCACTGATAAATTCTGAATTATTGTTCATTCCGGGCGGGGACGGGTGGTGCGGCACCACAAAGCATTTGTGCTTAGGGCACCTAAACGGTTTAGCAATGGCCCTGAACTCCAGGTTTGTTTTTGAGGAGATAACAACATTATAACATGGCTTATAGCTCACAAGGGTCCATTTTGTGTGATATAGAACCTTTAAGATTCAGAGTAATGATGCTGCACTATGGCATTTCTACAACCTAACCTTAAGTATCCATAACCTCAGCCTTATACGGGCCTTTCAAGTCGACATTAGCCTCACTCACCAGTAGAAAATCCTGTCTTCTTGTGACACTTGGTGAACTCGATGTTGAAGTACGTGACCAGAGCGTGGATGTAGTCGTTCCTCTGGATTTGGAGACAGAAGGCTGAAGTGAAGCTCAGGTCCTCGGGCTTCACCGTGTAGATGTCCACCTCCTACAACACATGCAAATTCATACTGTGCTGTGACCTCTGAATGTATGTCTATATATCGGAATGATCAGAATTTACCATAGTAACACAATGTATAAATTAGCAAGAATTACCAAAAAGCTTTAAGATCTGAGAGTCTAAGTCTGAAAACACAAGAAAAAATACAAATACAGCTGTACAGGGTATCTTTTTATTTTATGTTTGTAATGATTGTAGTTGTAAATGTATGTTCTAATAGTGCGGTATGTTTACTGTGCATAGAGAAAATTCACCAATCCCACAGTTTTCCTTTTTCTGTGTTAACAAACCAAGATCTAATTGTATGTTTATTTGTCCTGTAGTTTTCACAGCGTTTCATGACATTTGTTAAGGCTAATAAATGTGCCGAGAACCAAGAACACAAACCCTAACAGCAGAAATCATCTCATCTGCGATCCTATTCCGACATCTCTTCATTACGACATGCCTCTTGTTTAGACATGCCGGTTTTACGACAGTTTTTAGTATCGCTATTCTCGTCATGTGTGTGTTTTGGGCTGCGAGAGCGTCATCTCATTGAGCTGGTGAAATGAACTTGATTGGTATTGATTGGTTACCGTATTTTTCGGATTATAAGGCGCATTGAGTGAAACAAATGGACGACACTTGAGACTGATCCTTAGTCCAGGCATCCACGACCCATTCGGCAGATCGTGGTGTAATTCGCCCGGCGTCGTCTCTCTGTCTTGGTGAATGTGGATTATGAATGTGAATGTGGGTGGATCATTTAATTTAAGTTAGTTTTTTATTTCCTACGAGGACAATTCAAATATACATTTTACATACAGCTTTCTCACATTTGTTTACATTTTACAGAAACTAAACTTAAAACCACATGGCTCATTTGCATAAATTATAAGCGTTGAAAAAACAGCTCGCTCCTTGTGGCTGATGTGGTCAGATTCTGTCGAACTAAGGACCATAAATTGGGCTTTACTCCGCAAAGCTCCTGACTATGGTAGCTGTAATGCTCCGACAATCCATCAAGCGGTGCGGCTTCGTAGTTTACTGAAGTCGTACTAAAACATTTTGACAGATTTTTGAGCGTTGTGTATCACATAAAATCGGTTCGAGGTCAGAAAGCACAACCAGAATTAATATATAAAACGCAATGTCGATTTTTGAGAAACACTAAAGGATTTTAAGTGTGACTTATAGTCCGAAAATATACAATACAAGCCAAAATACAATACAAATACAAGTCAGTTCACCTGTTTCACTGTGGACCTGATACAAGCAGCTAAATGCGCCTCAGTCAAGTTTGATCGGCTTTCCCATTCACAAACACAGAGCCAGTGCTGCGCGTTTACGTCCTGCTGCAGCTGCCAGTGGAGGCGCCTTTGCGTTGACGCGCGGCTGTGGTTTCACGAGGTTACACGCGTGTAGTCTGCAGGTCACAGCGGTGCGGCTTCGTAGTTTACCAAAGTCGTACTAAAACATTTTGGTAATACGGTAATACTGTATGCCCCGGTAAAATCCTGAGACGGTTTCACGGTATCAAAATTTGGATACCGCCCAACCCTATTAGACATCAATGTCTAAATAGTGGAATGTCAGAATAGCAGCATGGAGCCTCACCTATTGTCGCTAAGTTAGTTCTTTCTGGTCAGATCGTGTTAAAATAAAACTCAGATTAAAGTCTAATTTAGGAGCACAGAGCAGTGCCTTCATTAAGCTTCACACCCCCAGAGAATGTTGAGGACATCGGCCGTAAAGTATCAATGAGACAAATAACCTTGAACTCGCATTGTCATTCCTCCCCCGCCGCTTCCATTTATTTTAGTGAATCCATTCTTGAGTTAGATGTTTCTTTCAGCTGTCAGGACCGATCTGGACCGTCTCAGTGTTCTGATGTTCTTAAAGGGCGGAGCTGCCTTTCATTAAACATCTAACCCACCTCTGAGACTGCATAATAACAGCCTTAAACGCATTATCAGACCAGAGCATAGTCGCATCACCTTTAAAAAGTCTTGTAACACAAACTTCAGCTCCGTATCACAATCAAATTAAAAGTTATTGAGCGTAAAGTGATTAAAAAACTCAGTCACTTTTCTGGTGGAGCCTCCGTCTGCTTTTCTCTGTGGAGATGTTATTGCTTTGTCTGGAATGTTTCACACTGTGGTATTAAACCTTTCTATCTTCACGGAGACCAAACCAGACCAAGTTACAGGGCAGATCTGTGGAGAGGACAGTCAGATTGTTTGTTTTTATAGGTATTTTTGAGCAATAAATCCACCTGTAATTAAATAAATGTGAAGTAGAGCTGTTTAATGTCATATATTGTGGTCATATCAGTTTGTCAAAGCCTGATCTCATCAAATCTCAGAAGCCAAGCAGGGCCGGGCCTAGTGAATACTTGGGTGGGAATTCCAGGTCTCCCATCTAAGTACTAACCAGGCTCGGAGCCAGATGCCACAGGGGAGAGCCAGTAGCAAAAACTGTCGTTGTGTCCTTAGGCAAGACACTTCACCCACATTGCCTAGTATGAAAGTGGCGTGTGTGTGAGTATTGGTGGTGGTCGGAGGGGCTGAAGGCACAGATTGGCAGCCTTGCATCCGTCAGTTTGCCCCAGGGCAGCTAGAAGAGTAGTTAAAGGTTGCATAGAGGATTTTTTTAAGGAAAGAGAAATCCAGCGACAGTCCTTTTTCAAATGTAGTGCATGCGTGGCACCACCTTCCTCCTCCACAGCTCCCTCTACAAATAATTTAGAGACTGATACCTCAGTTTTTAGACCCTTTGTCTGCTTCAGTTGCACAATCGCTGAAAGGAATCTCCAAGAATCACCTCAGTTTGTCTTCGCTCCTTTTCTCCTTCTCTTCTTCTTTCATCGACCTCAAAAACCGACTTTCTTTTGCGGTGAACTGGTCGTGGATTCTCGTCCGACATCGCAACAAACTTTGTGCGAACTGCGAGGAAGCTACAATTAGAAAAAGCCTCTAAGAACCGTTGCATAGTTACCTTAGGTACGTAGGGAGTTTCATTGACAACCTAACAGCCAATAGAAAATGAGGTAGCCTTGTTTTCTATTGGCTGATGTTTATCTGGCCTCACTACATCCACAGCTGATGGATTTTCATTCTTTTTTTTTTTGGTCATCATAATTACAAGGCTGCTGCATCTCTGTAATGGTATTTTAAACTTTCATTGACAATTTGAAACTAAACAAAAAATCCTCCATACAATCTTTAACCACCACTGAGTGTTGAGTGAATGAATAATGAACTGTAAAGCGCTCTGGGTATTTTGAAAGGCGCTATGTAAATGCAGTGATTAATGAATGAATGAATAATTAATTCCAGGCAAAGCAGTGATATATCCATAGAAATAAGCAGGTGATACACACAATGCACCTTAAAGTAAAAGTACAGATACTGGAGCAAAAAAATAAATAAAAGGAAAAAAGTATCACATGAAAAATCTTATAAAAATATTAAAGTACCCATTTTAAAATGTACTTAAAGACTCGCCATTGAGCATTACAGCTCAAAAGAAACAGAAAATGCACACCAAAATTCTTGTAGAGGTGCAAATGCAAGGAGCAGCCAGACAAGAGTGAAAAAACGCATAGCACACTCAGATGGCCGATGTCCGCGGTGGTCCAAAGCAAGAAAAATATCTGATGAAGGCTTTTTTTTTTGCCGAAACGTTATTTTGAAAATAAAAAAGCTTTTGGACATCGGCCATCTGAGTGTGCTATGCATTTTTTCACTCTTGTCTGGAGCATTACAGCTACCATAGTCAGGAGCCTCGCGGAGTGAGTCGTGTCCTTTTGTCCGACAGAAGCTAAACCGCATCAGCGCACAAGGAAAGAACTGTTTTTCAGTGCTCATAGTTTATGCAAATGAGTCATGTGGTTTTAAGTTTCATTTCTGTAAAACGTAAACAAATGTGCGCAAAGCTGCATTACACACATTATTACTAAATACATATTTGAGTTGTAATCATAGGAAATAAAAAACAAATTTAAATGATCCACCCACATTCATAATTCACATTCACCAAGACAGGGAGGTGACGCCGGGTGAATTACGCCACGATCTGCCAATGGATCGTGGATGCCTGGGCTAAAGATCAGTCTCAAGTGTCGTCCGTTTGTTTCGCTTAATGCGCCTTATAATCTGGTGCGATTTATGTATGAAAATAGATGAGACAATTCAACATTATTGATATTGCACTTTATAATCCGGTGCACCTTATAGTCCAAAAAATACGGTAATTGTAATGTATTGTTATTGTCTTTGTCATGACTGAATACTTGTATGTCCTAGGTTGTTTTTTTTTTTTTTTTTTTTTATTGTCTTTGCATGTTGGTAAGATAAAATTAAAATTAAAATAGCATCACAACCTCAGTGAATGTTGACGACATCAGCTGGAAAATATCAACAGCTGAAGACAAGAACGACAGAGCATTTTCAGCACTGACGGATGGCTGCAGATTAAAAAATACTTAACACAACATCTATAAACAAAATGAAACACTCTTCTAGAAGTGTTTTTGATGGAGAAACATCTTAATATGCGATAAAACACTCAGAAAAGTCAATTTTGCAAATCCAAGAGAATGACTGATCTATATTACGGTCAATACTGAGATCACTACAGTATAATTGGAGTTTTCATACACACTGTAGACTCCACAGATGTTTAAACGCCTCAGGTTTAACAGGGCATCTGATACACCTGCCTCTCGCTAATCTGTATTCACACAAGAACAGGATGTACCCGGGGGTTTTACCTGACGGACAGAGGCGGCGAGCAAACATCCCGCATAGAACAGACTCGTGAGAAACATTGACTTCTGTTCCGTTATTTAAAAACACTCTGGTGCAAAAACAGAAAAATAAAATGGAAAAAAAGAGCGCAGGCGTTACGTACATAAGGGGCATAACAGAAAAAGTGCAGAAGACAATGAGAAAACACAATATCAACACACCAATGAATCCGCACAGAAAACCCGCTCAATT